GGCTCCTTCAACTTTAAATAGCTGTGAATCTCCTGAAGCAACTGTGCTTTGGGCTGGTGTGAAATTTAAGAGATGCCTTCACACGTAATGAATGCGCATGTGGCAGAATTGTGTTGGGTTTGGTACCAAGTGTGAATACATACCAAAATTGACAATGAATGTTTTTGTTTTGTTTTTGTAATGTTTCCTCTAGATTTCCTCCCTCCAAACAGAGGTAGAAAACTTGTCCAAGGTCACCTTTTGAAGAGGGTCTCTCTTTGATTCATCCAGAGTGATATTTTAAGTCAATATGTACCTTTAATGTCAGAGATGCCTAGGAGAGGCCTAGTGAAATGAATGGGGTCAGCCGGGTAGAGCGAGGACAGTGGAAGCTTCTGGGAAGCAGTGTGGAGAGCAGGCCTGGCCAAAGGTCTGGGAATCAGGAAGTTCTAATTTCAGCTTTTCCACTGATTCACTTGAGACCTTTAGAATGTTTGTCCCAATGTAATCTCTCTGTGCCTCAGTTTCCTTATCTGCCAATGAGAGGGTGCGGGCCTTGGCGGGATGCCCAGGATTGTGAGACTGTACTGTGCAGGGCCGTAAAAATACAATCTGAACCCAAAATTCAAAACCAGCTAGTTACTAGATGCGCTGACAAAGTGAAAAGGTTAATGAGCATGGTTCCTTTAGTAATCAAAATGCCAAGGTCTTCAGGGGTGTATTCTTCTGTGTGAAATTTAAGGGGATAAGACGACTTCAAGCCTGGCTAGTTCTGGGTTGTGTGAGCAAGACAAACTCACCATTGGAGTAGAAGTAGTCCTAGCTTTGCCACTTGGCAGTTGTACCAACTTGGCCAATGTGTTAACCTCCTTGTTATTGTGAGGTGCCACGAAGTTGGTTCCAACTCCAAGCGACCCTGTGCACAACAGAATGAAACACTGCCAGCCCCTGCAGCATCCTCACAATTATGCCCATGCCTGAGACCATTGTAACAGCCACCGTGTCAAGCCATCGCACTGAGGGTCCTCCTTGTTTTCTCTGCCCCCTCTACTTTACCAAACATGATGCCTTTCTTCAGGGACTGCGCTCTCGTGACATGTCCCGAGTATGTAAGACCACAGTCTCCCCATCTTTGTCTCTCAGGAGCACTCTAGCCATGTTTTATCCAAGACAGGCCTCTTCGTCTTCTAACAGCACTCTGCTCTGTCAGATTCAAATAAAGGCATGTCTCCTGGAGGGTTTCTACTGGGTAGTGTTTTGTTCTGTTTGGTGTAGTCAGGGTCCCCATGAGGCAGAACTGTATGGGTGGCACCTAACAGCACCTTGGAGGGCAGTAGTGAAGCTGACCACAGAGAGAAGTCAGTCCTTTTGGGTCACTATGGTGGGGTTTGATCTCACAGCCACACTATGTTATGCAGTGGACAGGTTCTGTTATTACACTTGTGTACTAAAAAGTCATCCAGAGAAAGGGAATTATTGAATGCCACTATTTATGAAGCGCCTGCTATATGACGTTCTCTAAGCCCCACGCAGACAGCCCTGATGCCACCATAAGTTAAGCACTAGACTGCGAACCTCAAGGTTGGGGAATGGAACCGACCTGCCACTCCAAGAAAGGAGGCCCGGGAAGTCTGCTTCCATAGATTTATAGCTGCAGAAGCCCTATGGAACACTTCTCCTCTGCCCTGCAGAGAAACCTGAGTCAGAAAGGACGCCATTAATGGGAGTGGGAAGCCCCCTCTGAATGGCACTGGTGGCTCCGTAGTAAATTCTCACCTTGCAGGCAGGAAACCAAACCTCATGTGCAGCCACACCACCTACCTGGTATTGCAGCTGCCACACAGTTTGAGTAGAACGAGCTTCCAGATGAAGACAAACAGGGAAGAGAGGCCTAGGGACCCACGTCCAGAAAGTCAGCCAATGAAACCCGATGTCAAAGCCCTTACAACCTAGGGGTCACGATGACCCCATCACAGTGTGGACAGAGTCATCGTGAATCGGAGGCAACTTGGTGGAAGCTACTACAAGTCTCAGGTTACGAACTAAGGACTTTACATGAATTATAATATAGTTCTCTCTCTCTCTCTCTCTCTCACACACACACACACACCCTGTTTCTGTCACAGTTGAGAAAACTTCCCGCTGCCATTGTTTTTTTTTCCCTTTAACCTGCCTTACTTTCTTGTTCAGAGTTGCATCTAATTGGCTGTACTTTCGTATTCTTAATTTTTCAAGATTAAAATAGTAACTATTGGAATGGGTTTCCTTTGTCGTTGGTAGGTGCCATCAAGTTGGTGCCAGCTTCTAACGACCTGTGTACAGCAGAATGCAATCTCGCTTGTGCCTGCACTGTCTTCAACTGTTTCTGGGTTGGAGACCAATGTTGCTGCCACGGTGTCAGTCTGTCTCACGGAGGGTCTTCCTCTTTCCCGCTGCCCCTCCACGCTACCACGCATGGTGTCCTTTCCCAGGGGCTGGTCTCTTCTGACCACATGTCCAAAATAAATGAGATGAAATTATTCATAAACAAATAAATACACAGGTGTGGCTATGCATATGTTGTTGATGGAAGGTATTCCCAATGCATAGGTTGCTGGCCTTGCAAAAATTCTATCATGCCAACTCGGGCATCATTTCTGTCTCCAAAGTCACATTTTCCAGCCATCGATCCTTCTTTGCATTCCAATCATTAGTTCCAGTTATTAGTGCATGATCGATTCTAGATTTCCTAAATTCATACCAATCTTAAATTTTGCCATTCTCGGCCTTACTCGGTGTGTGTTTCCAGATGTTTCTGCCCATTTTGGAGTCACACCGTTTCAGCGACCAAAGGTCCCGGAGTGGTGGAGAGGGACTCCAGCCACATCAGTAAGATGAACGATCCACGGAGGAGCCAGGGCTTCTCCACTCACAATGCGAGTGCCGTCCCACCTGCGGGACTCCTCGTCCACTGTTCCACCATAATCCATAAGGTCTTCATTGACCATTTGTCTTCCAAGTAGATTGCCAGCTCCCTCTTCCTAGGTTCTCATGGTCTGCAAGCTCCGCTGCTGCCTATCCACCTTGAGCGAGCCTCCTGGTCCTGAAATACTGATGCCAGAGCTCCCAGCATCACCACAACCCAGAAGCTACCGGACCGTGGCAAGCTGACAGATGAGGGGTGGAATATATTTATAAAATATGCTACTTCTAAAGATTAAACAAATGCAACATTAACGATTGAGCATGCCACAGACTGCCAGAAGAACAAACAAATATGTTTTGGAAGAAGTAAAATCAGCATGCTCCTTAGAGGCAAAGATGGCAAGATTTTGTCTCGTGTACTTTAGACATATCATCAGAAGAGACCAGTCCCTGCAGCAGGACATCATGCTTGCTAACGTAGAGGGTTAATGAAAGGGAGGAAGACCCTCAAAGAGACAGATGGACATGGTGCTTACAGCAATGGGTTGAAACCTAATATATGGGAGGATGACACAGGGCTGGTCTGTTGTGTATAGGCTGCCCGTGAGTCGGAACGCACTTCACGGTGCCTAACAACACCAACTTGCATTCTGGTGATCAGGGACAGACCCAAGGGCATCTCACAACATATTGTTGGCTACTCCTGGAGAGCGTCTCAAAATTCACTTGAATGTTTAAGGAAAAATCATGTTCACTGGCAAAAGCAGCCACCCAGAACAATTTCCTTGAAGGTCGCTGGCAAAAGTATTTATGTTTATGCTTAGAAAAATATTGTTAAGAAGCCTTACACACCCTGATATGTTCCTAGATCTTGACAAAGGACTCATTTCGTCATAGCACTGTCATCATTCCATGTCCTATGGAAATGATCACAGTGAGAAGAAGGATGAAATTAATATTTTAAGGTGTGCTTTTATATGATGGAATACTACAATTGCCTTCTTGAAACTTTGATAACTATTTGCTCAAAGTGGTGTGGTATTTAGCAAATAACTGATATTACTTAGATCAGATTCAAAGTTCAACACCACTTCTTATATTTACCTGGATGATGTATTAATATTTCAAACCCTTTTTTCTTGGTCCGCAAGATGGGAATAACAAATAAAAAGTTGCTGTAAGTTCAATTAGAACAGTGGCTGATCCTAAGAACTCATCCACAAATATTAGTCATCCTTCCAGACATGGAAACAAGATTTCAAGCAGCCATACTCTAAAGAGCCCATTCTGTAGAGAAACAGGCCTCCTTCTCCATCCACCCGTGCTGCGGTGCTGCCTCGCCTCCATTAATGGTTAACCCTACTTTCTAATAAAAGTGGCAGACTCTCTCCCATTGGACATTCAAAACATACGTACCTTTCAAGGCTGAGTTGTGGACCATTGGCTATCGTTGGATTCCAGATTAAAGATGCCTGCTCGAGGTATTAGGTTTGACTTCTCCAATCTTCTTAGTAACAAGGCTATCTTTAAATTTTTTAAACTCCTACAACATCTTGAATCCGAGTGGAAGGCAAATCTGAGGCCCCTGTATTCTATAGCTTTGGGGAAGGG